GCCGTCTTGGGGCCCTCTTGGGCTGTCTTGGGGGCCTCTTGGGCCGTCTTGGCGCCCTCTTGGGCCGACTTGGGCGCCTCTTGGGGGCCTCTCGGGGCGGTCTTGGGGTGCTCTGGGACCGTCTTCAACGCCGTGAAGGCCGAGAAGTAGTATATGATCAAAATGTACGTTTTCCCATAGGAATTTGACGATTTTCGGCGCTTCGGCCCTTCTGAGGACTGCTCTTGGAGGCCTCTTGGGCCGTCTTGGAGGCCTCTAGGCTCGTCTTGGGGCATCTTGGGCGTCTGGGAGCGCTCGTTTGGCGCCTCGGAGCTCTCGTGAGCCGTCTTGGAGGAGTCTTGGGGCCTTCTTGGCCCGTCTTGATCCCCTTTTGGGCCCAAAGAGCCCCGTGACGCGCCCGTGTTCAAATCTCCGGTTTCGGGTCCCAGGGGGGGGGTTATTAGGGGGGGGGAACTATCTCACACGCCTAGAGACCCACAAGGGGTCGGCGGATTCCAAAGGCGCGGCAGCCTGCCGCAACTCCGACAAGCCAGCAAGTCGGAAGAATTTGCTTGACGGGCTAGGCTCGATGGCCAAACTAAGCGAAGCTCGTCGTGGCGGTGGGCTCGAGGTTGCGAAGGTCGAAGCCCGCCATGGTTTATAATCTCTGGAGCGTCTCTCCGATCAGTGGAGACACGCCTCAGGCTACGATGCTGCTGACAGAATCACCGAGCTTGCAGCTTCCCGCCCACCCCAGCCCTCGGAAGCAGAGCGACAGCCCGACAAAAGATGGAACCGCGTTCTTCAGTGCGCCCCGATGGCCCTGGCCGCGTGGCCTGTTATTGCCCCGAGGGCTGGTGAGAAAGGGTTCGAGGCCCGTGCCAAGGCAACCGACCCAACAGTAGTTGCCAGGTCAATGGCGGAACCGTGGTTGGGAGGAGCAGATTCGAGGGGGTCGAGCTCGGGCCGTGGGGCTGCCACGGCCCCTCCCCCGCCCCGTCCTTCTCGTTTGGTGCGTGCCCGAGTCGGGCATGCTTGGGCCCCGCAGATAACCCGTTGGCTTTTGCTGCGTGTGCCACTCGCGATGCCTTGGCGACAAAACTTACCAGCATCGTGCCAAGGAGCGGTGCCCCGGCAATGTTGCGGTCCTGGTCAAGATAGCGCTGCAGCCCAACGGACACCATAACCTAGTTTTGGATCGAATAGATAATGAGGGCTTCATAGTTGCATGTTCCCAGTGTGGCACACATGCTGAATACACTTTGAAGGACCTCCACACAAGTTGTTCGCAAACGTTGTGCGTCTAACTCTTCGAGAGGAACGTGTGAGTGCCCCCCAGGCGGGAAGACACCTCAAGGCCTTTAAGCAGAGACCTGTAGTCTTCAAGCCCCCGGTTTCGATTGCTCAGGTTGCCAGTCGGGCAGCAGAGGCAGAAGCGCTCGAGACGCCGTAAGCGATGCCGAACCTTTTCCGAAGCCGTGCGATGGTCCTCCTCCTCCCTCCTCTTCCTCCTCCTCCGCTTCCCTCCTCCTCTCCCTCATCGTCGCGTTTGTGTCCATATCTGGAGGAGCCTTTTGGCATCCCGCTGGCGACTTCACTCGCAGCACCCTCACGGAGCAAGATGATGGTCCGTCCCTGGTCTGGCATAAGCGGCCCGAGGTTGGCCTTGATGGATGCCTCGTCAGCAACCGCGCTTGGGGCGACCTGCTCGTAGACGGCCCTTGCACTCGACATCCGATTCGAGAGTTGTCTAGGGCTGGTAGTTCGGTGTACATGGTGGGTTCCGACGGAGATTTAGTTGCGGAGCTGAGGGCCCCTGTGTAGGGGACCCTGCCCACAGACCCCACTGTGCGCGGAGTTCTTCGCTTCCACGTGAGTCAACGCGCTCGCCACCCATCCCTCGGAGTGCCATGTCTATTCTGACTGTAGCAATGTTGTTTAGGCTGCCATGCAGGGCAATCTGCTTTAACTCTGTTCTAAGAGAATGTATGATGTTGTTTTTCCGACAGGGTCGCGGTCAGCGATCTTCGATCGCGGCGTGTTCGAAGGTCGTTGCCCACCTTGATGTCGACGCCCCAGACTTCTTCAGCCCAGGAGCGTTGACGCAGGCGCGGCAACTACCATGCCGACGTAGGCGCCAAGCATGCGGCTCTGTTACATCCTCACGATGAGGATCAGATGCGGGCGGCCGACCATCTTGTGAAGCGTGCGCGGGCTACTCTCAAGGGTGCGGCCCGCGTGCTGGTGCACTGGCTTGCTTTAGACCTTTGCGGCGTCGAGAGATGTCCTACGCTTGCGGTGACCAAGGCTTTTCCCTTAGGACATGTCTGGAGTTCCTGGGGGGGGGAATCTGGAGATGCGCTCACTGCTTACGTGGTTGCCGTTCGGTTTCGAAGCCACCTCCAGGGTCCTGCAGCCGCACGTCGGATGTTCATGCCGACAATCAGGACGCGCTCGGCCATCGTACTGTCGCTTTCCCGTGCTCGGACAGTTCGGCTCTGTTTATATGTCCGAGGTGTAAGTGCTACAGCAGCGGTGGCCAGATCAGAGAACTCTCCAAACAGTGCTCCCTGGTTCCTTCGCGAGCGTGCAAGTACGGTTGGGTTGACCTATGCAAAGGCCAGCATCCGCAATGCAGTCAGCGGAGAGCTGGCGTTCTTGTGGGCACGGAAGGGTTGGTTCCTTGCTTCAAACTGCCCGAGGCTAGTACAGCCCCGTCCAGCAGTTGTGCGACAGCTGCGCCCCTTGGTTACGGTGGGGACCTGGCTCAGGGCATAGCAGCTCCCCTTTCGTGCTCGCGGTCGAGCGCGTCGGCCGCCCCTCCTGCTGCTGTTTGCGAGGGAGAGACGTGCGGCACGCCTGGGCGCGAGGATTCAGCGAGTGTTGCTCAGTTCGAGGCCGAAATCGAGGCCTCTGAATTTCTCTTCCTGCCCTGAGCAGGTTCTCGTGCCGCGCGGCCACCTGACGTTCAATCTCAGGGGGATGTGCTGCGTCAGGCTCGAAACGCTCGTGGGATAGAGGGGGAGGGGGCTTTTCTCGAGCCTCACCCCGCCGCCGACTCGGGCGACTCTGTCTAGCGCTGTCTTTTAAAGCGCAAGCACCTCCCTCCGTTGCTGGCGCTATTTCAGGGCCTTCCCTGAGTTGGAGGCGTAGGCGTGGAACTCAAAAACAGATTCCTCCTCCTCCTCCTCCCTCTCCATGCTCCCTCCTCCTCCTCCTCCTCCTCCTCCTCCCTCCTCCTCCTCCTCTCTCTTCCTTCCATTCCTCCTCCTCCTCCTCCTCCTCCTCCTCTTCCTCCTCCTCCTCCTCCTCCTCCTCCTCCTCCTCCTCCTCCTCCTCCTCCTCCTCCTCCCCTCTCTTCCGTCCTCACTCCTGACTCGCCGATCCCCTGTCCCCCACGTGTCCCAGCGCGCTCCCGCGAGGGAAGGAGCAGAAGCAGGAGGAGATGGACTCTGACGTTTCTTGTCGTCCCCCTCTTGAGCAACCCTGGTGGGCCCTCGGCGTCAGCCAGACTTCATCGCGACGTGACAAAAAGATCGCGACGGACGGGTTTGGGCAATGCTTGGCCTCAGGGGGGCCATTCTTGGCCCCAGGACCTTCACAGACCGACTTTGGATACAAAGAGGGCCCCAGTGAATCGAGGTTTCATGCATACCAAGTAGATTCAGCAGCATGGGAAGCATTAGTCTACAGCCTCGAGAAGCCTGAGATGGGTCTGCTACTCGAGCTATGGTCGACAAACTAAGCGGACTCGTACCTGTGTGTTGTCGAGACCTCCAAGGTGGTCGGAAGGCTGCGTGGTGGGCCCTCGTCACTACGGCCGGCACCGCTTCGAGGTCCAAGTCGCTGCGAGCTCCAGAACTGGTTCGGTGAGAGGGGGCAGCTTCTGAGGGGGGATCTTCCTCCGCCAGGAAAGGAGGAGGAGGGACAGGAGGAGGAGGAGGAGGCGGAGGAGGAAGAGGAGGAGCAGAAGGAGGAGGAGGAGGCAGCGGCAGAGGAGGAGTACGGGTGTGACATCCTGCGTCTTTCCGTGAAGGCGAGCTGTGAGATGATAGGATTGGGGATGTTGTTCCTCCTCCTTTTCCTCCTCTTCCTCCTCATCCTCCTCTTCCTCCTCCGTCCTCCTCCTCCTCACCCTCCTCCTCCTCCTCCTCCTCCTCCTCCTCCTCCTCCTCATCTCCCCCTCATCATCATCATCATCATCATCATCATCATCATCATCATCATCATCATCATCATCATCATCATCATCATCATCATCATCATCATCATCATCATCATCATCATCATTATCATCATCAACATCATCAACATCATCATCATCAGTACCAGTACCAGTACAAGTACCAGCACCAGTACCAGTGCCAGTACCAGTATCATCATCATCATCATCATCATCATCATCATCATCATCATCATCATCATCATCATCATCATCATCATCATCGTCATCATCATCATCATCATCCTGCTCTTCTCTCTTCTCCCTGTCACGATGTTAACTCGATCCCTTTCAGGCTGAGGCCCTTGGACCATACGACTCTCGACCGAGTAATTATGTGTCCTAGGGCCCGAAGCAAGAGTCTGGAGTCTCAAAAACACCCTGTCGTGCTTTTTTCACGCGCCTGGAGGTGTGGGCCTCCTGGAAACCGACACCGCGGACCTTTCCCGAGCTTCGTTCCGGCCAGGATTTCGGTGCGGACCCAGCCCATGGCCACGAGAACGTCATGTAGTGAGGCCCAACATGTGGCGAAAACGTCCAGCAACCTCTCAACGATCCTCCTCCACCTCCTCTTCCTTCTCCCAGCCCTGCGGGGGGCCACGGTATGTGCCCTCGGTCCTCCGCCTCTTCGAGCCTCCTCATCGATCCTCCTCCGCCTCCCCGATGCTCCTCGACCTTCGGGATCCTCCACCATCACCCTCCCCGATCCTCTCTGCTCCTCCTCGATCTTCTTCCCCCCTCTTCCCCTCGCCCTCCGTGCGCCACAGCACGTGAACGGTCGATCCCACCCCCCCCGAAGGTGCCCGCGCCGTCTTGCGCCGGCGCAGCGGGCGAGCCAGGCACTGCACGGCCATGAAGGAAATGTATCGAAGGTACCTTCACCAGACTCCCGCCCCACTGGTCGCACGGGCCCAGGAGGGTGCAAGGGTCATTGAAGCATGGCGCTCGACGATGTACTATTGATTTTCCTTCTCGCAGCCACTCTGAAAGTTGCACACTGCAGCCCTCTGTCCGCCAACTCGAGCGAGAGGCCAGAGGAGATCAGTCAGGAACTGCGACGATGGGACGTGGTAGTATTCACAGGCACGCACAAATTGGCTGGACCAGAACCGACACAGACAACGCACCTGAGTCACAATTGGGGAATACATTACCATCTTCAGATAAAACAAGCTCCGTCTAGTTGTGTCCAATCCCGAATTTCGAATTTGTTTCTAAATTCGATTCAGGATTCCAAAAAGCTAGCCCTGGTTATCATCGTTGGCGGTTCTGCTGATTATTATGGTGGTTGTTGAGATAGTTTCAGATCTTCCTTAACAGGGCTTTATCATATTTGGGTTTCCTGTTGTTATCGTTCTCTCTTTGCTCTCCGAGCACGTTCGGGAACACGTTTTGCGCGAAGTCTGAACGCCAGTCGCGTGCTCGTCCGTTTTCGCAATTGAGCTGTTGTGTTGTTGGGCGTTTCGTTTTCGCGCGGGCATGCGCCGCGCGTTTGTTTCGCGTTTTGCTTTTGTGCGCGAGAAAGGTCTCCAGGTTTTGTTCTGCATCTGTCTTGGTATCGCACCTTCGTCGCAATTCGTGCGGCTTCTTTCGTTTGCGTTATCAGAAATATTGCGTTGTACAGATTCCAGATCTTCAACCAGGTCCTCTTCTCTTCGAGATCTCCCCCCAGATCTTCCCAAAATCTGCCGCTAGATGATCATCCAGATCTGTCTTCCTCCAGATTCTTCTCCAGATCTCCGCCCGGCCATCTCCCAGATCGCCCTCCGGATCTCTAGATATCCCCCAGATCACCTCTGAGGTGTTTCTCTAGATCTTATTTAAGATCTTCCTTCTGATCTCGCTTTGGATATTCCTGCAGATCTGCCTCCAGATCATCCTTCAAATCTGCTTCTGGCTCTGACCCCAAATCTTCCTCGAGATCGCCCGGTGGACCTCCTCAGCCCATTGCAGATGCCTCATCATTGAGGAGGCGTCACTCGGACACTGGAGGAACATGTGTGTGTGAATGTGTGTGCCCTTGTGCGCATGTGCATGTGCATGCGTGTGGATTAAGAAGTGCCAATGGGGTGGTCGGGGCGTCACGCAGCGGCGCCCTTTGTGATAATTCATTGGGTTGCGGGCCCGCTCGTGGCTGCCGTCGTCATTGGGATGGGTTGATCGTCCCCACCAGTTCCTGGCGACAGGGAACGATTCCTAACAATTCCATGCATGTGGATTCTTCGTTTTGAATCCGCAGCGCCGCGTTCCACCCATTTCTCCTCACCTCCGCCCCCTCCTCCCTGTCCCCCTGCAGCGCCGCGTTCCACTCATTTCTCCTCCTGGCCCCCGCCCCCTCCTCCTCCCTGGTCCTGCCCCCTTCCTCCGCACACCCATCACATTCTCCGTGGCCCCATAGGGAGCTTTACCAAAGGCCCCAGCAGCAAAATTCGCATATCGCCCCCCCGCCCCTGCCGGCCGGCACACCCCTCGCAAACGCCTCAGGGGCTGAGATCTCACATCGTTCCGCGCCCGTTTCGGCACACTCCATCACACGCTTCGTCGCCCTGTGGGGAGCTCCACCGAAAGCCCTAGCGGCAGGATCTGCACGGCGTCCGCCCACTAATTGTTTGACATCTCTCATTTTCTTCGTGGCCCCGTACGGATCCTCACCGAAGGCCCCGGCAGCAGGGGCTGCAGGGTTCGCACAGCCCCCCCCCTTCCATGTCGACACACCCCGCACACGTTTCGTGTCCCCGAAGCAAGCTCCAACGACGGCCTCAACGGCAGGGTTCGCATAGCGCCCCCCCCCCCGCCGCATTCTGGTACACCCTTCACACGTTTCGTGGCCCCCTGGGGATTTCCACCGGAGGCCCCAGTGGTTGCGCCCGCATGCGGTTCGGACGCCCATCTCGGCATGCCGCATGTGGCCCCATAGGGAGCTCCACCTCCCCATCCAATGTCGGCACACCCTCACATCTTTCGTGGCTCTATAGGAAACATCAATTGCCCCAGTGTATGCGTTCGCATGCGGTTCCGCCGCCCATTTCGGCACTCCCACTTCGCTTCTGATTCCCGACGCATCTGCTGTTATTCGCTTCCTCAGTTTTCATGAACATCACCGTCCTCACGCCTGTCCCCCACTTTCCTATCACCTGTCTTGCGCTACCCGCAGCGGCATGCGGTTGGGCCACGCCTGGGTCCTTCGCCCGGATATTCTGTAAATCTTGTCTCCCGTGTTTTCGTCCTAGTCGGCATCCTACATGATGGGCGCGTGCTGAGGACTTTGGGGCTCTTCGGGGGATTCTGGATGGCCTTTCGAGGATTTGGGAGCCGTCTGGCATCTCGTAGAGACTTGCGGCCATCTCGGTCTAGCCGCGTATTGTAGGGAATATTGCGGCCATCCGATCTTTGGGTGGTTCTCGGTCTCTGGGGACGTTTCTGGGGCTGCCGCCTTGATGACTATGAGAGGGCAGCTTTGGCTACCGGAACGCGTCCTTGGCGGCCCGAACGGCCTCAGGGCACCGACTTGTTACACTATTGAGCCATCTGGGATGGTAAGGCGCAGACTTCACTCGAAAGCATCTCTGATTCTGCATCCCATGGATTTCCTGCAGAGTCCACGGGGATCAGTTTGGGGGCTTGTCAGGGTGCAAACGCCTCTTGTGCCATGGGACTTTCCTCAGGTTGGTGTCCTCGCCAAAGTGCTGCGGGACTTACTGCTTGGTCGCGCCATCTGCTCCAGAAGATCTGGACGGGAGACGGCCGCGAGGCATCAGAGCGAGACTAGTCCTTGTCCTCTTGCTCCTCCTCCCCAGGCGAGCTGCAGCCCGCCGCGGTGACCGTGAGCATCGGTATACCGCAGCCTGGAGTCACCTTGGAGCCGCCCAGTCAGCCCCAGGCAACGGCGACGGGGAGGCAGGCACGCGGCATGAGTATGGATGATGCCAGCGCATGCAGCCGAACAGTTCCTTCGCTCCACAAGTGCGGAGCACCACGTGTGAAGCCCCAGTTGGAGCCTCGACGCGCGTAGAACCCAACGTGTGTGAGGTGCGTGTGTGTGTGTGTAGATGTGTGGGGTTCCACGTGTGCGTGTGGGTGGAAACCCATGTGTGGGATGCCGCGTGCGGGAAGCCCTCACGCGGAACCCCGTGCCACGCTTGTGAAGCCCGTGTATGTAGAATCTCATGTTTGTGGAACCCCGTGCATGAGGACCCGGCGTGCGCGTGCAACTCCATGCGTGTTGAACCACATGTGTGCGGATCCCCATGTGTGCAGGGTAACCCCCGCTTGCGTGTGGAGTCCCACGCGTGTGGATCGCGAGCGGACGACACTGGAGTGCGGAGCCTCGTGGGGTCCCAAATGCCATGACGTGCGAAATCCATGGGCCACAGCGACGCAACCCCAACACACCAGGCCAGGTCCTTTTAAGGCGCAAGTGCGAGTGCCTCGCGCCACTTTGGGCAAGTGGACCTAGGAAAGGCGTGTCCACATAATGAATGGGAGAAGAAACAGATGAGCAGGAAAGGGAGCGACACGGCAGTGACAGGGGCGCGAGGCAGGGTGGACGCAGCCTCGTTGGTTCGTGCATCACGGGGCCACGGGAGGCAATTCCATGTCCGGTCGAGCTCGCGTCGTGCCGCGTCTCGGTGCCCACCGCCGACGAGGCCCATGGCTCCATTCTTGCCACAGCTCGTTCTGATCACAGGCGCAGGACACGCCGCTGCTGCGAAATCCTTGCGCTCGGCGGCGCGCATACGGGGGCGGGGTGAGGCCAGGGCGCGGTCCTCCTCCCCCTCCTCGGGGCCTGTCTCTGCTCTCCGACTCTCGCCAGGCGCTCGCCGCCGCGGAGGCGAGGGCGCCCACACCGCGGGCGCCGGCCCACGGGCCCCCTCCGCCGGAGGCGTCGCGGGCAGGACGCTCCTTTTCTGTCGTTGAGCTCTCACTATTGACGAATGAGTATTGCTAATACCCCCCTCTGGGACACATTCTGTTTTTTCAATTGACGTACCCTTCCCTGGGGCTCGCACCCGGTTTTTCATCAGTCTTGGGTCTCAGAGTTCTGTCTTTGGCCACCTGTTTACAACAAAACGGCTCCCGCTTGACACATGATTGTGGTTGTTGTTGTTGAGTTCTCATTTCGAAAGAATAAGTGTTGATCCCCCCCTCCGGGCCACATGGTGTTTTTGAAATGAAATACCCTTCCCGGGGCTCGCACTTGGTTGTTTCATAAAAAGAGATCTTGGGTATCAGGCCCCCGGCTTACAACAACAGCAACCACAATCATGTTAAGTTTGTTCGCTCTTATCTGCTCGAGTGCCATTCAACGTGTATTGCCCAAACCTTCGATACCCGCCCTCTTCGTCTTCGACCGTACCCCTTTTGGAGGGTACATGTTTCTTCCCTGCAGGCCGGGCCCCGGCAAGCGGCGGGGTGGCCGCGGACCGTCGGCCTGGCCAGCGGCAGCGCTGATCGGCGGCAGCCCGATCCCAAGAGGGACGAACAGGGGACCGACCGCGACGACGACGACGACGACGACGACGACGACGACGGCGACGACGACGACGACGACGACGACGACGAGCGAAAGCGATAGCGAGAGCGATAGCGAGAGCGAGAGCGAGAGCGACAGCGGGGCCACGAAGGGCGCGAACGAACGGGGGCCACGAAGGGCAGATAATGCGGGACCACAGAGGGCAAGGACGGGGCCACTGAAGGTAGCAAAGGGGCCACGAAGGGCAGCGAGGGAGCCACGAAGGGCTGCAACGGGGCCACGAAGGGCATGCGCATGGGGCCACGACGGGCGCGAACGAGCGGGGGCCACGAAGGGCATGCGTATATTGGTCCGCCGTGGGCAAGGGTGGAGCCATTGAGGGCAGCAACGGGGCCACGAAGGGCAGCGAGGGGGCCGCGAAGGGCGACGGTGGGACCACAACGCGCATGCGCATGGGGCCAAAAAGGCGCGAAGGGCCGCGATGTGGGCCGCGAAGGGCTGCAACGGGGCCTCGAAGGGCAGCGGGGGGGGGGCCACGAAGGGTTGCAACAGGGCCACGAAGGGCAGCAACGGGGCCACGAAGGGCCGCAACGGGGCCACGAAGGGCAGCGAGGGGGCCGCGAAGGGCTGCAACGAGGCCACGAAGGGAAGGGACGGGGCCACGAAGGGCTGCAACGGGGCCACGAAGGGCAGCGAGATCCCGATTCCTAAGTAAGCTGTGAGGGAGTCGTAAGCGTGAGCGCGACTCCAGAGCGCCGAGAGAGCGATTCTCGCATACTTCGTGAGGAAGTCCCAAGCGAGAGCGCGAGCCCTGAGTAAACTGCGAGGACGTCTCAGGCGGGAGCGGGGGTCCAGGTTAAATTGCGAGGGGGTCTCAGGCGGGAGCCGTTGTTGTTTTGTTGTTGTTGTAACCCAGGGGCCAAGGGCACAGTTTGAGTTTAGTGACTTTCCCCCCCCCAAAAAAAAACAGCGTGCGAACCCCGGGGGAAGCACATTTGTTGAAAAACACAATGGTCACCAGAGGGGGTGTCAACAATATTTGCTCGTCAGTAGTGACAGTTCAACAGCATCAACAACAGCAACAACAGCAACAACAGCAACAGCAGCATCAACAACAACAGTGGCTCCCGTTTGATATTTCCTCACAATTGATTCCCCAATCGCGCTCTCGCGCAGGACTTCCTCACCATGTATGCAGGAATCGCGCTTCCGAGTGGGACTTTTTCATCAATTCAGACGCCGCGCCCTCGGCATTCAGGAATCACGCTCTCGCTATAGGTGTCTGCACGAATGTTTCGGGAATCGCGTTGTCGCTCGAGACTGTCTTGCGATTCATGCAGGACGCGCTCTGCAGCAGCCCGCCTGTTCGATCTGGCCGCCTGGGCCCGCCTTCCCGACCGGCCTGTTGGGGTCTACCCGCCCGATTTGCCCGTCTGGTTCTGCCACGTGCGTTCTGCTCTAAACCCCCTTCCTGCTACTGTCTGTCGTGGTCCATCCTCCATCCAGGGTGTCCCTTCCTTCCATCCGTCCTCTCCTCCCCTGCCTTCGGGGCCGCGCGAAATACATGTTGCAGGTCAGAAAAACGTGCCCCCAATGGGGTGCGATCGAAGACGGAGAGGGCGGGTATCGGTGCTTTGGGATACACGTGCTGATTGGCACGCGAGCAGATGAGAGCGAACAGTCGTATAATGATTGTTGTTGCTGCTGCTGTCGTTGTTCCTGTTGTTGTTGATGTTATCTTTGCCGCTGTTGTTGTTAGTGGTGCCGCTGTTGTTGCCGATGGTGGTGTTGCTGTTGTTGCTGTTGCTGGTGTGTTTGCTGTTGTTAGTTAGTGTTGGTGTTGTTGTTGTTGTTGGTGTTGTTGTTGTTGTTGTTGCTGCTGCTGTTGTTGTTGTTGTTGTTGTTGTTGTTCCTGTTGTTGTTGTTGTTGTTGTTGTTGTTGTTGTTGTTGTTGTTGTTGTTGTTGTTGTTGTTGTTGTTTTGTTGTTGGCGTTATGGTTGTTGCTGCTGCTGTCGTTGGTGTTGTTGTTGGGTCTTCATTCCTAACAAATAATTGCTGTGGACCCCCACTGCCTGGTACAATTGATTCCCAAATCGCGCTCTCGCGCACGACTTCCTTACAACGTATGCAGGAGGCGCGCTTTCGCGTGGAACTTCTTCGCAGTTTATTCAGACGCCGCGCCCTCGGCACTCAGGAATCACGCTCTCGCTGTGGATTTCCCCACACTTGATTTGGGAACGAATCGCGCTATCGCTCGAGACTGCTTCGCGATTCATGCAGGACGCACGCTTCAGCAACCCGGCTCCCAGCCTCACGGGCTGCACGAATTACACGTTGCAGATAAGAGAGATATTCACCTATGGGGGCACGGCCGAAAACAAAGAGGGCGGACATCGATGGTATGGGGTATACATGGTGAAGGGCACGGAAGCAGACAAGAGCGAACAGTCTAAACATGCTTGTGGTTGGTGTTTTTGCTGAGTTCCCATGTCGAAAGAATAAGTATTGTTGATCCCCCTTCCGCGGCACATGATGCTTGTAACTGAAATACCCTTCCGGGACTCGCACTTTGTTTTTTTTATAATGGAACGTCTTGAGTCTCAGGCCCCCAGTTTACAACCACAGCAACAACAACAATCAGTTTACAATTGATAGCTCTTACTGGCACGCGTGTCTTGCATTCTGTATACCCCAACCCTCGACACCCGCCCAGTCTTCGACCGCACCCCCTTTCGGGGGGAATATTTTCCTTGTCGGCCACTGACTGAAATACGCGGAATTCTCGAGCGAGAGCGCCGTTCCTGAGTTCGGGGTCCTCTCTGGCCAGGGTCTCTCGGAATACGTATTGAGAAATATCGAACGGGAACCCTTGTCGCCGAGTCTGGGCCTCCACTAACTTGTTTAAGATACGAGAACCTCTCTAGCGAGAGCGCCACTCTTGAGTTCGGGGGCCTCTGGCAAGGGCCTCTGCGAATACATATTGAGGAAATATCGAGCGGGAGCCCTAGTGGTCGTAGTTGGGCCTCCACCAATTTAATTGAATTGCGAAAAAGTCTCGAGCGAGAGCGCCGTTCGTGATTTCGGGGGCCTTTCTGGCCAGGAGTTCTCGGAATCGAGCAGGCTGCGTTGCAACGCAGCCATGGTCCGGACATGATCCGCACAACAAGTTGTTCCGGACAATTGTTCCAGACGTTTTGTTCCGGATGTTTTGTTCCGGACAATTTGCCCCGGACATTTGTAGGACATGCCGTCCTTGGGGGCCGCGTGAGCGCCCTCGGCCAGGAGCCCCCACCCATGGGAGCCTGTAGCGGCCCAGAAAAGTGTGGTTCGGGGCCCGCCGGCTCCGCATCGCCTGAAATCTACGTCCCTGGGAGGGGGTGGAATCCGAGGAGGAGCGGGTGGAGGAGGAGGAGGAGGAGGAGGAGGAGGAGGAGGAGGAAGGAGGAGGAGGAAGGAGGGAGGAGGATGAGGAGGGCGAGGGGGAATGAGGAGGATCGAGGATGAAGAGAGGATGGAGGGTGGAGGGGGCCAGGGAGGGAGAGGGGAGGAGGAGGAGGAGGACGAGGAGGAGTTGCTTTTGCTCAGCTGTGGCCATCCGCCACAGCGGGGGGAATGACAAGGGGAGGAGAGAGGAGAGAGGAGAGAAGAAGAGGCGCGCTCCGCGCCGCACGCCGCGGTGGCCATTCAGTCCCGCTCACGGCCATGCCTCGGGCCGAAATGGCCCCAGCTCGCTTTCGCGAGTCTGAGGAGGAGGAAGAGGAGGAGGAAGGGGAGGAGAAGGATAATGATGATGATGATGATGATGATGATGATGATGATGATGATGATGATGATGATGATGATGATGATGATGATGATGATGATGATGATGATGATGATGATGACGAGGAGGAGGAGGAGGAGGAGGAAGAAGAGGAGGAGATGAGGAGGATGAGGAGGAGGATGAGGAGGAGGAGGAGGAGGAGGAGGAGGAGGAGGAGGAGGAGGAGGAGGAGCAGGAGCAGGAGCAGGAGCAGGAGCAGGAGCAGGAGCAGGAGCAGGAGTAGTAGCAGGAGCAGGAGAAGGAGGCAGTCTGGGGAGGGGAGCCCCCGAGGGCCAGAAAAATTCGAACCTCGATCTTCAGGGCCTTGAGGCGTGAACCTCGGCGTAAAACCTTGTCGGTTTCTGGGCCGTAGTTCAGGCCTCCGGCAGCCGTTCGGGGCGATTCCAGCACTCCGGGGCGCAGCGTTTCGTTCCGGATCCGTTTCTGGCTGGATCGTCGGATCCAGCCGCTGGTGGATGGCCAGACCTGGTAGGCTTGGCCCCCTTCCCAGGCCGCAAGGCGCGTCGCCGCCCAGAAACGTTGATTTTGCCCCGCACTCGTGCGCCGGATCGCTCCAAATCTAAGTCCGTGGGCGAGGAAGTAGGCGGGATGCAGGCTT